CATCATCAATCCCTTAATCGATTTATAATAGTGAGCTTAAACCGGATTAAACCATCTCCCTCAAACTTATACAAATCCTGACTCAGAGTACGTAAAAGATTGGTACACTGTGTGCATATCATGTGTATTCTGGCGTCAGGATGCATACATGATTCGCGCACAGCGGGCCTATCCTGTGTGAATCTTGACTCAGGATACGTATGTGGAAGCCCAAGTATACTTGGCTACCCAACTATTCTGACTCTTGCCGAAGTGTTCTTACCTGACCCAAGTATTCCGAGTTTGCTAATTTTTTCAAATACACTCGATAGATGTCTTGTTTTTTATTGTGGTTTGTAACTTTGTACAATCAGCCTCCTCGGTCTTGCTTTGCAGCACAGGTTTCTCATATTACACATTACCTTAGATCTTGTGTCTCATGTTTCCAGTTGCAAAAAATCTTGATCTATTAAACAGACATAAACATGTTTTCAACTATGTATAGATTATAGTATTAAGCTTACTTCTAATCTCGGCATGTTTGCGTTTATAGACTAATAAGAGACTTCTAACATAGATACAGATGAATTCATTGGGTGTATGGGAAAATAAACTACATAAAGAGCGCTGGGCAGGCTGATATAGTGACCAAGATTTAAATATTGAAAATTCATGTAGCTACATTTACTGAAATTCAAACATATTTTATCTGATAAATTCAACGCTAATTGAATATTTTTTTGTCGACTCTGACCTTCTCAGGTTTGATGTTTTTGTCAAGCTCAGCCGACTTCTCCTAGAAAGTTTACGAATTACATATGTATTTGCTAAATGCCAGCGAATAGGTGCACGTTATGGTTAAAGATTTAATTGATACGCATCAAGGAGTGGGAGTCTACAAGTGGTGACATATTGTTATAGTCTCTAACTTTTTGTGGACGGCATTCTGTGGTTGGCGTTCGGCGCCTGTAACAAATGCCAGGGACGACATTTTGCATGTTAATGCCTTGTTAAAATATGTTGCTCTCACTGTCACTAGCAAAGATGTCATAAAATCGTAACGAGGAAATCATTTTATTACTATTGGATTTTTGTTTTCAGGAATACACTCATGTTTATTTACACGAATAAAGGATCTAGTACGCCCTCCATTATGATCTCCCCATGAACAAAAATAAATTCATCTGAATTTTCGAAATGAATATACTGCTTTTATTATTACATTTATATGTACACTAGTATCCTGTTGACCTATATTCAGCACTGTATTGATGAATGGGCCACTTATTAGGGCCAATATTCAATCATAAAGTGTACAGGGGTAGAGATGCCAAATCAGGAAGTATTTTTGTGTCTGTCAAAATCCATTTGCATCCTACACATCCCTACATCTTATTCAAATATGTTATGAATTAATGAAACATAACAGTATAATCTTTGGATTTACAAAGTTATATGGCATTTCATAAGTGTAAAAGTTGCTTTTGAAGCATTTTTCTATAGCCATTTTGTAAGAAAAAATGATGAAAAAATGTATAATCTTTTCATTTGAAGTATCACCTGAATCGATTGCAAACTTTATATTTGCACATCTGTTGTGATATACCAGTTGTGTCATATTGTGAAATTATTTAATTTGCAATCGATTCAGGTCATAGTGTATTTTAAGTATTTTTGTGAAAATCAATAGAAACCAATGACCTTCATTGGAATCTGATGATATCAACATCTCGATGAAACACATACACCCTTGCTGAACTCAATGACCTCAACCTCAGCCCATGTGGGTCCAAATGCTTAGATATTTTCCAAAGTATTATGTGACATGGTGTTCTTTATGTTACACCTAAAATGATTCATTTTGTTCATGGGGAAATCATAATGGAAAGTGCACTAGATCCTTGGTCCAAATTTACATAAAAAGTAAAAAGCGCACAGAAGATATATAGTGGGTGTAAAAAATACTTACGTTCCAGGGACGGATCTGAAAATCAAGAGTAGGGGGTCCTAAATCTGAAAATTTGAGCCCAGTTTATAAAAACAGGCTCAAAATAAATCATGCTCAGTAATGCTGAGTTGTTACCTTAATTGCTCAATTTATGTGGAGAGGGAAGATTTTTTGCCCTATACGTTTTTTTGGCCCTCACTTTTTGGGGCCCTCCAAAGGGGGAGGGTCGGGCCCCTGTCCTCCGCCAGATCGACCATTGCGTTTTACCTTATGTATGATACAACACGCATATTCAATAATAGGGTCCTCCGCCCTTGTTATTTTTCTTAAATCAATGATAGTATGTTTTACATACCGAGCGGAGGTAGTCATTTATATCATTTATAAAAACATGAGTGGTTTCCAAATTAATTTCAGGAGCCATCTTTTGAATATACGTGGAATCCATTGACAAATGATTAAAAAACTAACGCAGACATCTATTGAGTGTATTCGAAAAAATAAGTAAGCCCAGAATACTTGGGTCAGGTCAGTATACTTCGGCAAGAATCAGAATAGATGGGTAGCCAAGAATACTTGGGCCTTCACATACGTACAGGATTAGCACACTGTGCATATCCTGTATGAATCTAGGCATCAGGATTCATACAGGATTGGCACACTGCGAGCGTATCCTGTATGAATCCAGGAGGAAGGATTCATACTGGATTCCTTTTGGGTATATTATTGCCGAAATATTGAAATAATCAACAGAACAACCAACTTTCAGAATTAAACACAATCGATTCCTCGGCTAGCGAGGGGAATCCCATTGAGTCACAAAAGCGCCCACAAGATCCTTGACCCAGGCAGCCAATCAGTTTTGTGATTCAATGACTAATCAGATAACAGGAGGACTTTCCCGGTATATTTTTATAATTTCTGCGAAAATAATTAGATCGGCCAGCACAATCGCAAAATTTACACTGAAAGGGGGATTTGGGACTTCTTCTTTGGTAAGTAGATGGGTGAATATGTGTTGAGACTCTCATAGAGCCCATTTAATATAGATCTATTGACTCATCTCTCTAGGGTACTTTTACAAAGAATTTTTCTGTGTACACGGGGTACCATCGAATAATTTTGGCAACGTACCGGAGAACGACATTTTACTAAGAAATGGCAATAATTTAGCACAATATATTTTTAACTAGAGTTCTATTTTGATTTTGACAAAAGTAAGTATTCAATGCAATAACTATTTCATTCATGAGTTTGTAGGAATTCTGTTGGAACCCAGTTCTGATCAAGTACGAAGTTATTGAAATCGGCGCAGACGGACTTTACTCCGAAAGATGGTTTTTCGATTATAACTTTTCACAACATTTAAGTATAGACTTTTGAAAAAAGTACAGAATAGTCCTTATACTTTTGAATAATTCTGTTATTTCTGATTCACACGACTCTGATTTGTTTAATTAAAAAAAAAGTTTTAAAAATATTACTTAGGAACGTAACCGGAGCAGATCAGTTGAATTATTTAATCAAAAAAATTAAAATATATGATTTAAAGCACATACATGTATACTAATTTAAAAACATACGGGATTGTTCGAATGCGTATTTATTAATATATATGCTTTAAATTATATATTTTATTTTTTAAAATTATATAATTCAACTGATCTGCTCCGGTTACGTTCCCAGCTCCGGTTACGTTCCTAAGTAATATTTTTAAAACTTTTTTTTTAATTAAACAAATCAGAGTCGTGTGAATCAGAAATAACAGAATTATTCAATAGTATAAGGACTATTCTGTACTTTTTTCAAAAGTCTATACTTAAATGTTGTAAAAAGTTATAATCGAAAAACCATCTTTCGGAGTAAAGTCCGACTGCGCCGATTTCAATAACTTCGTACTTGATCAGAACTGGGTTTCAACAGAATTCCTACAAACTCATGAATGAAATAGCCATTGCATGGAATACTTACTTTTGTCAAAATCAAAGTATACTCTAGTTAAAAAATATATTGTGCTAAATTATTGAAATTTCTTAGTAAAATGTCGTTCTCCGGTACGTTGCCAAAATTATTCGATGGTACCCCGTGAATAAAAAGATAGCTATAGATTGGTCGAGTTCGAAGAAGGGACTGAAAGTCTGTTGTAAAGTTGCGAATATTTTTCTTCATTTTTTTGTCGCAATACTTAGCTGAATAATAGCATTCTTAGAATTTAAATTTAGAAACACGTGTACAAATGTCATTTTCATATGTCCATATTGGTTTAAATATGGGCTCAAAAGAGATTATAAATTCCCGTTCATTTTAAATCAAACATAATTAAAATCGTCATTCAGTGGATAATCTGATAATGTACTCAGTAATTGTGTTATAGAAAAAGCTAATGACTACAACTGTAAGCATTTGTGAACATATGAAAAGGATGGAAAGAGCGGCAAAAAATAATTGGTTCTTCAACACTGAAGGTGAAATACTGAAACGATGTCCAAACAATAAGAATATTACCTGCCATCTTTTTTACTCACTTTCGATTATATCTATAAATAATTTGAATAGATCTCTCCAAGAAATTTTTCGTTCAACATCATGGTAAAGACTTACTTTTATATTCCTAGACGACCAATACTATCCATTTATGCACCTCTCTCTGTCTTCAATGGTTGATAAATACATGAAAATGAGTGAAATATATTTTACTCTAAAGGAGTGGTATCGATATGGAGAACTTTTTGAACACACGTTTCTCTTAAACCAGTCATAAAAAATCTAAACATTTAACACATCGTCAATTTAATGGTCATCCTTTGAATGGTAACAATATAATTTGAAATATATATATATATATTGCAAAATTGCACAAAAAACAAAAAATGTTAGCAAAAACAGTTATATAAAATATTTCTAAATAATTTTCCCATTAAATTGTTGTCAATCAGTCAACATGACATAAAATACCGTACTTTTTACAGAATGTTTTCAATGATTGGTTTAAGAGAAAAACATTGTTGAATTCAGTTCTCCATATCGATACCACTCCTTTCATCTTTAGGGTTTATACTAGCCAACACGAACATACAGCTTATAACTTTTTCTTTTATTACATTTTTACAATAGACCAACGTAAACAGAACGAATCATTACTCGGCTTTGTCTTCGCCAAAGATCTCCTTTCTAAGCTCATTTAGTCCATGGAGAGCCTCTTTAGATGCGGTGTGTAGGCTGTCCACAAAGTCCTTCAACAATTCGTCCAGGGTCTTTTCTTCCTTTTCCTCGGTTACTTCATCCTACGAAAATTAAACATTATTTAAGGCCCACTTCGCGTATTTTCAATGTTTTTGGGCAAAATAAAGACTTTTATTTGAATTCTATAGAATGTCCAATGTATTGATAAGAGCCCCAACTTTCATTTGACACCAACAACAGCTCAAACGGACCACATCAAAGCTTACAATAATTAATAAAATATTTTTGATCTGTCAAGCTTTATATATCAAGTTTCTATCAATGTCGTTAAAAGATGGCGAAGTTGTTTGTATTACAAGATACATTCATTTTTATTGAAGTGTCGCCATCTTTTAAATCAAAAGTAATTAAAACCATGCACTTTGTTTAGCATGTGCATGCATGTCTTATGTTCTCTGAACTTCAAATGCTTTTCGCTATGTAAGTTATTATTTTTTGGGTTCAATAATAAAGCAAATCAAACTTTTTTTCATATTTGAGCGATTGTGTGAGTAATATGTTTCAATGATAATTGTTTTTCTTTTTTCTTCTAAATTAAGTATAGTGGGGCTTTTTTCAAGTGCATCGATAAACGATTGTGATATAATATAAAACCAGAGAAAATAACACCTGGTAAACGATCCTTTTTGCATTTGACCAAAACCTGAATTCATTACTAAATATGACCAAATATTCGATTAAAATCATAACCATAAAACCTACAATACGTTTAGATGCAACAATGTGCTAAAAACGTCAAAACAGCGGTTAATAAAAATGCATAACTGCATTAACCTCAGCTTTGTCTTCGCCGAAGATTTCCTTCCTGAGCTCGTTGAGTCCGGTAAGTGCGTCCTTGGCAGCATTGTGAAGTGAGTCAATGAAGTCCTTTAGAAGATCATCAATAGACTTCTCCTCTTTTTCTTCAGTAACTTCATCCTCCTGGGTCTGGAATATGTAAAACGGCAATAGTGTCGCTTTGGGTTGATAACTATATTGTATTTAGGCGTTTGATAGGAAAACATCACGGGAATAACTTTGAATTGAAATTATTTATTCATTATATCATTTGCAAAAGTTGTGTGTATTCATTCATTCATAGATATAGTTTAAAAACTAATTAAGTTGTTTGAAACAAAGCGTTTGCTCGATGCCCAAGTGTGATCTTATACTATCAAATATCAGAATACTTTCCTTCATTGTCTAATCACTTGAGATATAAAAATTTCTAGAGTATTTGAAAATAGATGGCACACCTTTCCTGCTTCGATCCTCTTCTTGCGAGCTTCAAGAGCTTTCTCGTAAAACTGCTTCATCTGAAGCAAAATGAAACAATATTATTATTACATACCATTATACATACTTTACATACCATATATCTCCATTGAGGAATAAACATAGTACTTGTTGAAACTCATTTTATTTTTGGAAATATATATAATGTACTTCTTACTTCAATGTATTTCTTCTGTTCTTCCTCTGGCATCTCATCGAATTTCTTGTTGACTTCTGCAATGACGGCATTGATCTTCCTCTCTTGTTCTTCCAAAGCTTTCTTGCGGTTCTCTCTGGCTTCCTTTATACGTTTTTCACGTGATTCGGCAATTCTTTTTTGCTGGGCAAGCCATTTTTGCCTCATCTAAAACATTAATAGAACGAGCGTTTGCAAATATGTCACGTATTCAATCAGATTTGGAATGTTCTAAGTGTCCCAAGTCACAATATAGAAATCATGAATATTTGAGGTTTTCAAATATTTTGATTCTGGAACTTTAAGAAGTTTGTGTGCAAATGCCACATAGACTCACCTATCAAATCCCGATTTAAATCGGGAGAAATTCCGATTTTTTAATTATTGCTCATTTTTTTCAAAATCCCGATTTTCAAAAAGCCCGATTTTAAGAAAATATCGCGATTTTTTGTAAAGTATCCCGATTTTTTTCATAATATATAGAGGTTATTTAATGGGAGGTTTTTGATACAGGGTATATCCGAGTGAAATCTACCCGAGGGACCGAGGGTTGATATATTGTATTTACCGAGGGATATACCCTGTACCAAAAATCGAACATATCCTCCTATACTTAGTAGATGATTAAATATGCATTGGATGTTAGGGAACCCTAATGTAATAATTACAAACGATGATTACAATCAGAACATGAATATGTTATCTAAATTTAAAGTCCTCGACAATTTTTGTTTTTTAAAACTCAGCAGCTTTTAACATTTAACAGTGTATGAAATTAATATTTATCAAATAGAGCCAAAGTATATCCCGGGAATTCAAAAAAGCACCGAAAGAAATTCCCGGGGATTGTTAATGAGCGGGTGATATATATATCTCCCGCTCACCTCAGCGATATCGATTATATTCCCACATGTTATTTACCTATAACACCACTAAGTATTAGGGATAAATACCGATTTTGTGTTCAAAACTCACGATTTGTTAACGAGACATCCGGCACTTTTGTGATAAAACAAAATGTTGGATATGTAGCTAACAACACATCCAACATAGCGTTTGCTTATCTAATCTTCTTCAATACAACGCACTGAACGCATAGATACGTTCTTCTACGTGTTGTGTCTACGTGTTCTTTGACTTCATGTGACACAAACATGAATCCATGTGATTTCAATCTGGTTTGCTTTATCGGAAAGATAATTGATTATGTGCGGACTAGATGTAGATTACATAATTATTTCTGATATTTAACTATTGCAAGTAATGTGCTGTGGGGTTCAAATGGATACGGAAAACCATGATTAAAGCTAGCTCAAATTGCATGAACATAAGGTCGAGGTATTAATGATGTGTTAATGCAATTCGAAAACTTATTTATCAAATTACTTATGCAAACCCCGATTTTCTCCTGATTTATTTAGGCAATTTATTTTGAACCCCCGATATTTCTCCCGATTTCTACGGAGAAATTCCGACTTTCTCCCGATTTTTTCACAGAAATCCAAATTTTCTCCCGATTTTGATCCCGATTTACGTAGTTTTACGTGTCGAGGTTAAAATCCACCATTTTTCTTCAATTTTGTTTCATTTAACGCAAAACAAAGATGCCTTCCTGTTGTTCTGTTCTGTTATACCGACTACCTCCTCCTAGTGGCGTTTGAGTCTCAAGCTTTGAGAATTGGCCCTATTTCGTAGGTCACACAATTCATCGTGTATAGTTGGACACCCATGTTTAATGCATTCCTAATATATTCTTAGAGGTTTTTCCGTTAACCTCAATTGTTGAGGATTTCGAAAAATTTTAGCATCTTTCAATCTAAATTATTGATTTGTAATCTTGAACTTAGAGAAACTTAGATAACACCGTTTGTGACCTACTTTGATGACCTTGACATTTGACCTTCAAAATTTTCAAGGCTATATACTGTAGGTCTTTTGTAATAGACATTCAAAAATATGATTTCATTGTGATCCCTTTATAAGTCACTTTTTAAGTTTGATTGACTCACAAAGAATGAATTTTGACTTTACATTGGATGAAATCCATAAAATACAGATTCTAGCATGAATAGTTTCATGGTTCTGGAAAACAAGCCTGTGAATGTAGCGCATAGCTGGGGAGATAATAATACGTGAATAAAAGAAGAGCTGATTTGCTGCATTTTCTAATGATGAATTCTGACACACACTTAATCAAACAACATAAACGTGGCACTGAAGTTGAAAATCAACCAATCATAGTCGAATATACAGGGTGGTTCAAAAAAGTGAACCCCTGCAACAGGTTATATTTTCTTTAATACATGCATGAATTGACTCATATTATCGCATCTTGTAGAGAAAGGTCTAAACGTTTTCTTGATGGCATTATTTATTCTCAGTCTTGAATTTTGAAGAAATTACAAGACTTAAACAAGCATGTATAAAATTAGATATTGGGCAAAATTTTACCTATGTGATTCACGGAAATTGTTGAAACACTTTGGATGGTCTTAAAAAGGCTATCAGTGAGAGATATAAGTTTACACCATACCTTATGACAAATGGGACTCTTATTGGGCAGAAAACACTTTTCACACTTTCATCGACCATTTTGAAGCAGTTTTAACCATTCAACTGTAAGGGGCGTGTTACCTACACAAACGGTTAGAGGGGGGGGGGGGCAAAGTTACCCCCTGTGATCCAAAATATGAGAAGCTCTTCATACAAATATCTTACAAAAATCAAAGGGAATCTAATATTCAGTGTTTTGGGCCGTATTTCATTAGAATTGGTCCATGATTAATGCAGATATTGACATTTAAGACCATATATCGGTATGTTGCGATTTCACTGGAAGATGTTTTTATCTTTGGAAACTTACAACGTTTCTTTGGATCGCAATAACTTTGCAACTAACGGAGGCAGGATGCTAATTTCTACACCATAATGTGCGGGATTCAAACCCAAACTAAGTCAGAATACATTAGCTTTTTCAGACTGCGGCTAAAGAAATTTCCACAGGAAGATACTTGAAAGGTTGAAGAATCGTAAATGTTGAAGTTCACATTTTATCGATTTTCAGTAATGTTTGGTTAGAGTTTATAATTTCAGCAAATTTCAAGACTAAGAAAAAATGTACAAACCAAAATTTTAGACATTCTTCAATCTACAACATGTGAAAATATGAAAGGATTCCTGCAGGTAATATAGCCCGTTGCAGCAGTTCACTTTTTTGGACCACCCTGTACATTGATCAAGTGATAAAAAATACATATAGGGGTAGGTGTTTATAAGTCGCATGATAAAGAGCGGTTGCCATCGGGACGAGAAGAACAATAGACAACAAGTGAATTCATCTACGGTTCAGTGATTCGACATCCGAATAGCAAAGTAAGTATATTTCTAGATATCGCATTAAAACATTAATGCACATTAGAAACTGCTTAAGTTAGAGCAAAATAGTATTTTATGGATTTCAACCAATGTAAAGTCAAAATATTTATTTATGAGTCAATCAAACTAAAAAAGTGACTTATACAAAGGGATCACAATAAAAGCATATTTTTGAATGTTTATTACGAACTATGGTCACTCAGGAACCCACTCCGGTAAAATAGGTCTGAAAAATATTTCAACGCCACAGAAACAGCCCGTCATAAACTTATATTGCATAGCTGTTTGCATAACAGTATACACTTGTACAGTATCCCGGGAATTCAAAAAAGCACCGAAAGAAATTCCCGGGGATTGTTAATGAGCGGGTGATGTATATATCTCCCGCTCACCTCAGAAGTACTCGAAGGCAAAAACCGCTTTTACAAACTGGCTTCTTACGTACTACAGAAGCCGGCTTCTGGAGTCACCAAGAAGCCGGCTTTTAAAAGCCGGCTTCTGAAGGACAACAGAAGCCGGCTTCTGGAGACACCAAGAAGCCGGCTTTTACAAACTGGCTTCTTACGTACTACAGAAGCCGGCTTCTACAGTCAACAAGAAGCCGGTTTTTAAAAACCGGCTTCTGAAGTCACCAAGAAGCCGGCTTTTAAAACTGGCTTCTTACTTACTGACGTACTGCAGAAGACGGCTTTTGAATATAGTTTATATTGTCAAGTTTTTTGCAAAACTATACGGGTAAATTGAATTCTAAGCATGGATATCGATGAATTTGATCACGTTCATCAATTCCCAAAATATTATGCATTGTATTTCTGTTTAATAAAAACGCACCGCTCATTTTTCAAAACTGGCTCCAATTTGGAGCCAGTTTTCAAATCAGCTCGCACCATTAAACACAAGCTATAAACGGACAATCTAGCCACTGGGAATCACGAGATACTGTCTCCCGATCATTTTGATGTAGATTATGCATCTTATTTTCGTATAATCTGCATGAAAATATGGAAAAACTGAAAAATATGTAAAATTATAACATAATTCAAGATTTTTTGCAAAAAGTCATTTCAAGTCAAAAGTATAAGAGAAAATTGAAGTCTAAGTAAAAATATCGATGAATTAGATGATGTTCACTAAATCAGAACAGATTATGCATTGCATTTCTGTTTTATAAAAACGCACCGCTCATTTTTCAAAACTGGCTCCAACTTGGAGCCAGTTTACAAATCAGCTCGCTCCATCTTACACAAGCTATGTAGGGACAATCTAGCAACTGGGAATCACGGGATACTGTCTCACGATCATTTCTATGTGCATTATGCATCTTATTCTCGTATAATTTGCATGAAAATGAGAAAAAATGAAAAATACGTAAAATTGTAACTTATTTCAAGATTTTTTGCAAAAAGTCATTTCAAGTCAAAATTATAAGAGAAAATTGAAGTCTAAGTAAAAATATCGATGAATTAGATCACGTTCACTAAATCAGAACAGATTATGCATTGCATTTCCGTTAAATAAAAACGCACCGCTCATTTTTCAAAACTGGCTCCAACTTGGAGCCAGTTTACAAATCAACTCGCTCCATCTTACACAAGCTATGTAGGGACAATCTAGCAACTGGGAATCACGGGATACTGTCTCACGATCATTTCTATGTGCATTATGCATCTTATTCTCGTATAATTGGCCCGAAAATGAGATTGTAACTTATTTCAAGATTTTTTGCAAAAAGCCATTTCAAGTCAAAACTATAAGAGAAATTTGAAGTCTGAGTAAAAATATCGATGAATTAG